GCGATAAATGAAATGGCCACGGAGAGCTTTAGTGAAGGTATACTTCATTTTAAACTTATTAAATTCACTAGTTTTCGTGGTCCGCTTGACCAATTAATATCTTTCAATTAATTAAGGTTTTTAGTTGAGATAAAAATATCTATATAAATATAGATAGAATATCTATTGAAATAGTGGTGTGTACGTGACGACCTGCTAGTGGCAGAATAGAATGAATAGATCCCGGTGATTTTCCGTGAACCGTGTTCAGTTTGCAGAAGGCTTTCATTTATGAATTGAGCCAAGGGATATGTTGTCGCTAATTGGTTTTGAAAGGATACGCGAAGTAAAACCGCTGTTTAAGCTGTATTAGGCTAGATAATTGAGGCTTTTGCATGTGCCACAAGTAGAGCTATAGAATTAGCTCTAATTACGATCAACCTTCACTAAACAGCGCAACAAAATGTTTAGAAATAATCAAAATTTTAATAAAACTAACGTGAACGCACTGCATCTTTTCACACAAAGCCTTGTGTCAATGAAGCTGAAGTATACAATTCTTCGGTAAACATTTACTACTTTCCGATACCGATGATCCTGTACCCACAAAGCTTCCCACAAAACATCAGCATTAAAACTAATTACATGTAAAACTGGATTCATCGTCAAAACTTTCGTTGTACAAAACGTTTTACTAACACGTAATCCAGGTACGTCACACAACTTTAGAAGAAACTTTCAATTAATTAAGGTTTTTAGTTGAGATAAAAAAACCATTGTCACGAGCGGGATTCGAACCCACGATTTTCGGCTAGATACGCCGCTACTCTACCACTTGAGCTATCGTGACCTCGACCCACTCGGACACTAACTTCCCTTTTTTATCTCAACTAAAACCTTAATTAATTGAAAGATATTAAATGGTCAATCGGACCATGAAAACTGTGAATTTAATCATTTTAAATGAAGTATACCTTCACTAAAGCTCTCCGTGGCCATTTCATTTGTCGCCGAGAATCAAATATACTAAACGACATTTGAAAATGGCAAAAAGGATGGAAAATTCAAAAGGTGGGGTTGAGATGGGAAGTTAGTGTCCGAGTGGATCGAGGTCACGATAGCTCAAGTGGTAGGGCAGCGGCGTATCTAGCCGAAGATCGTGGGTTCGAATCCCGCTCGTGCCATTGACTTTTTTATCTCAATTAAAAACCTTAATTAATTGAAAAATATTAATTGGTCAAGCAGAACACGAAAACTAGTGATTTTAGAAGAAACATTTTTTGCTGAATTACATCTCAACTGAAAACCTTAATTAATTGATAGACAGTAATAATTATTTTAATTAAATGTATTTTTTATCTGAGAACTTGCTTGAACGGAAAAAGCGGGATTTGAAACCAAGACCGTAGGCTCAATAGGCCGCTGCTCTAACCATTTGTATACAATTTATATACTCCTACCATACTGATTTCATCAATAATGATAACTTAAAAATATTTAAAGAGAGTACGATATTGTTCAGCTACAACTAAAGGTAAAGAAAGTAATCTTGAAAGAGATATTTTCAAGCTGCTTTTCCTGACGACGCACACGTTATATAGGCGTTACAATACGTCAGTGTACCGTTTGTAAATTTCCTTGAGAAGATGAATCACAAATATCTTGTCAATACCGACCTTGAATTATTAATCAAATGCGTCAATAGAACTTTCTGTTTTTCATTTCCTGAGACATATTATAATTCCGTTAATGTATAATATGCGAATCGTTTCGATGTATGTCAACAGTTTAGTACTACTCCCTAGTGTACACCGTTTATTCGGAGTCGGAGCGGTGGTGGATGCAGTTGTCGGCGCCTGGGTAGAGTAACGATCCCTTTTTAGTCACACTGAATGATTTTACTCTACTGAATAAAATTATCTAAACGTAAGGAAATTTCAGGCTAGTAGATCCCGCGGTCGTGGGTTTGGTCCCCATCGACGCCTCTGAACTTTTTTCCGACGCACGGGGTGGCCGCAATTGAAAGAAATTGATCTGGCACTCATCAATGGAAGGAGCGTGATCAGATCACAGTGACCCTCAATTTGGTCCCAACTCTCTTCAAACATGAGTTTCTTCGATGGAAAAACACCGGCACGCCGGGGGCTCAAATTCACACTCGGGCGAGCCCCCAAAAATGGAACAAGTACAATAGCTGAACAGCTGCATTACTCAGGGGAAACTCTTCCAATTCCTGGTATCCATTGTTTAGGGAAAAAAATTCACTTCAACACTCCTTTTTTTATTTGGTGGAAGAAACCGTTTTGAATATAGCAAAAGTTACGAAAGATCGAATTAAGGGACAAAATTCCAACTCCGCTTTCCGCTAGAGCCTCCTGGTAAACGCTGGTCCTTGACGCCAATGGGAAGTTTGACCAAAGACCGAATGGATCAGTAGGTTAAAGGGGCTGTGGTATTACAAAAACCTGGGTGTAAAGTAAAATTTTTGCATTTTTGCGAAAAAAAGAACGATTTTTACTTATTTTTTCCTTGTCCATCGTTATACCCTCTTTGTTATATGAATTAATGTACCTTTCTTTACTTAAATCATCATCTGATACATCGGCAGGATATCCTGATGCTTCTTGTTTCATCTGAAGAAATTTATTAACAAATTTTGAAAAAAAGGCCATCTTTCTTATCTTTATCATATTTTAACGTTTTGTATCTCCAAATTTCATGTATTTTTACAATCTTGTATCAAAATTTTACAACCTCTTTTAATTCATCTGATACCCATGTACCATACACACTTCGTTGTTCGTCCGTGTACAATAATTTGTTGTCAGTTCTTCTGCACACTTATTAAATTATATAAACGTAAGTTTTCCATGTCTTTTGGTAGGTAATACAGAGTGGGAGGAAGAACTATGCATTTAACAAACCCATCTATTTAATTTAAATCATAATCATTTCCGGTTATACGGCGACACTCGTTTTCTCCAATAAATACTTCCGGGTGCCCAATTGGATATTTCCATATTTACATCTTACGTTATTACATTTACGTTTGTACGGATAGAGGGAACAGACATCGACGTAATTAATCTTTTCACCTGGTAAGGCCCTGTAATTTGGTGTTACCTGTTCTGCCACCGTAAAATCCATCTCTGGGGTTCAAGGGTTCAAAATCAAAAAATGAATCATTTAAAAAAAAATTCGTTCGGGTACCGTCGCTCGTTAGGGCGTTCCGAGGGGGCAGCGAGCTACTCCACTCTAAGCCCGTCAAGCCTTTTTGGGGTAAGATGTGTCAGGTTGCCCGGGCTCGACGGGTGAACACCCTTTTCTTATTTGCTGCTAGTTCAGGCCAAGGAGGTTTGGAGAAAAGACACAAGAATTCGGACCAAACAATCAAGTTCCTTTATTGTTGTGACTAACAATTCCCAATATGTACAAATAAAAAGTGTATAATTCAGAGACAACCCTATTACTGGACAATTATTTCTAGATACTTATAACTAGTGATCTTATTTTCTATGACTCTTACTACTAGGGGCTTAATTACTGGGATAGCCGTATTAAAAGTAGCCGAAACCGCCCAACTGTTCTCAAAATCTCCCGCCAACCAATTGACAAAAGTTGTACTTACAGGGCTGAGAGACGAGCATTGATTCCGTTGGTTCAGGGATGCGGATTCGGTGAACTGCGGTGTCTATTCTGCTGCTCCAGTTCACCCTCTGACTCCGTTTCTGCAGCCTCACTCGTCGTTTCCACGGGATACTCTGTCTAACTCAATTGCGGACTCCCGGACTACCGACTCTACCCGTGCTCTCTCGGACTCAACCCGAATTCTCTTTTTTTTTCTCCTCCAGGCGTCTCTCTCTTGACGTTCCTCTGGGCATCTCTCTCGACGTTCCTCCCAGCGTCTCTCTCGACGCTATTCTCTGGGCGTCTCTCCCGACGTTCCTCCGGGCGTCTCTCCCGACGTTCCTCCCAGCGTCTCTCTCGACGCTATTCTCCGGGCGTCTCTCCCGACGTTCCTGGGCGTCTCTCCCGACGTTCCTCCGGGCGTCTCTCCCGACGTTCCTACGGTCCGCCGGGGCCGCCCTGACCGAGGCGGCCCGACCGTGACAGCACTCCGCTTACCGCCTCTCTCTTCAATTCCTGGCCGTCTCCATGGAATTCTCTACTCTCTACTTCTCTCTAATACTCTCCTCTCTCTACTCTCCACTACTCACTAATTCTCTACTGATCGTCCCTCTTTTATCAATCCGTCCAGGGAGAAGGTGGGGAACAGTTGTATTTCGAAAACACTGCTATGCTTCCGGGTGACCCGACTGCCCTTGTCCTCTCAGGTCATTGAGCTATTCCGGATGAGTCCGGGCATTAGCTAACCCTGAGGGTTGAGCAGTAAAGCACACTCGTCAGCACGACAGCCAATTTTTCTAGGGCGATTGCCCCGGGATCGGCCCACATTTCTTAATCGAAACATCCAGCTGTTATTATTTGGCCAGCTTTGTTTAGCTGCGTCTGGAATTTTCGAGAAAGACGGGGTCGGTTCCCGCGATTCTAGGCCACTTCCGGCTACTCAATACGCTTTCCCAATAATTAGCTAACATATTTCTTACGTATAACCTTATTTTTTATTTTTTTTTAACATATTTTTTTTTATATATTTTTATATTTTATATATATTTTATAACATTTTTTTTAACATATTTCTTACGTATAACCTTATTTTTTATTTNGGCGACGGTGGGGATCGAACCCACGACCGCGGGATCTACTAGCCGAGAGTCTGACGCCTTAACCACTCGGCTACCGCGGCCCCCAACCTTATATTTACAATATACTTAATTTCTATAAAACTCTGTTTAAGATTCCCAACATGGAATCTTCACATTATAGATTACAAATAAAATTATTGCTTTTCATTTAAGCATTTGGAATTTTTATTTTTAAATAATTGATGAGATAATAAAATTGTTAACTGTAATATTTTTACAAGGAACAATATATTAATTAACAAAACAGGTCCTTTTTATAAACTCATTTTTAATCAACTAATTTTTGTAATATAATCTTGAAAAAAAAATAGTTGGTCCAGAAAGAAGTTTTCATCGGCTACCTTGGTCCTGTTTCTAGAAACAAATACCGGCGGCTCCAATTATTCAATGTTTACGAGACGGTAGCAAAACAAGGAGTAAATTGAATATGTCTTGCCCCGCGGTATCTATTAACGGTTGAACCATTCCCAATTTAACTTCAGAACTAGTTAATATCGGTAAACATAGGTTAATTAATACAGTTCATAGCATGCCGATCCGCGGAATTAGGAAAGTGCGAGAAGATATTTCGGAATAACTTACGACTTTACGATTTCAATATATGTAATAATTAAAATGGAGTGATATTTTAAACGTGGTTTTTTTGTTTTTCTTGAAAAAACCGTAAAAAACGTGTCCAACGAACCGTTTACATCGAAAAAGACAATTTTTTTTTCGATTTTTTGCATATTTCTTGAAAAAAAAAACGTGTCCTACGAGCCTTTTACATCGAAAAAGACAATAAAATTTTTTCGATTTTATTTTGTCGGGATTTTTCTTGAAAAAAAACGTGTCCTACGAGCCTTTTACATCGAAAAAGACAATAAATTTTTTTTACAAGTTTAAAAGACAATAAAATTTTTTCGATTTTATTTTGTCGGGATTTTTCTTGAAAAAAAACGTGTCCTACGAGCCTTTTACATCGAAAAAGACAATAAATTTTTTTTACAAGTTTTTGGGTTTTTTTGCGTTTTTCTTCAAAAAAACTTAAAACGATGTGTCCTACAGGCCTTTTACATCGAAAAAGACAATAAAATTTTTTTCGATTTTTTGCATTTTTCTTGAAAAAAAAAAAAACGTAAAACAACGTCCTACGAGCCTTTTACATCAAAAAAGAAAATGCACATTTTTTCGATTTTTTGGGGTTTTTCTTGAAAAAAAAAAATGTAAAAAAACGTACCCTACGAGCATTTTACATTGAAAAAAGAATAAAAATTTTTTCGATTTTTTGCGTTTTTCTTGAAAAAAAAAACAAAAAACGTGTCCTACGAGCCTTTTACATAGAAAAAGACAATACAATTTTTTTTGAATTTTTTTTGCCTTTTTCTTGGAAAAAAACGTAATCCGAGACTATAACATTACACTTATACATTTAATTTTTCAGAAATCGTGAGATGTATGTATGTGAGATACGACATATACTTCTGCAATTCATATCGAGAGACGTGTTTGTGTAAACCCTTCAACCTGACGAAGAGCTAAAGGGCTCGAAATCCGGATTCTTCCGAAACAACTTAATGTGAGTAGGAACCACCTTTTTTAAAAAGGATCGTTAGATGCGGTCTGATGTGATGTAGGTTTCAGAAAAACATTTTCTTTATCGTGCCAACGTTTCGATCTTTATTGAGATCATCTTCAGGGCCTGGGATTTACAAACATTGTTTACATTTAACCAATACACTTAGGATGTGAAAAAGTGAATTTATACAATGCAAAATATATTTTTTTTTAATTTATTTTTATATTCAAAGTGTTTGTCGAAAAGGAAAGCTAAATTTAAATTGTTGGACAATTAGACTATGTGAAAAATATTTGATGTGTGGAATGTAATGTGATGATATAACTATATTGAATTTGATTAATGATATTGGCGTAGCTGCTTCTGAGTTTACATGTGTCTGTTCTGTAATTGATGCTGTCTTTATCTCTGTTCATGTAAACCATTTCTAAAAAGTTACGTTTACGTTTGTTTTGTTCTGTGTGTAATATTTTTGGATTGTTAAAATCGAAATTGTGTTGTGTTCAAAATGGTGGGTAGAGAGTGCTGTAGGATTTTGCTTGGTTTTTTTGCAATCATAGATATGTTGCTTTACTCTCTTATCCAGATATTGCGATGTAAGACCGATGTAAGTTGCCGGACAGTGTTTAAACAGTTGATTTTGTATATTACATCAGATTTATTTGTTATTGGTGTGGGATCTTTCATTTTGGAAAAAAGTGTTTGAATTGTTTTATAATTTGTGAAAGCTATTTTGAAGTTATCGGACGAGAGAAATGTGTTTAATTTATGTGATAGGCCTTGAATAAATGGCATGGAAATGTATGCCGGTTTGTTTGTATTTGATAGACTTAATGTAGTATTACACTGAAGTCGTAGTTGTTGATTATTCTGTTAATTATGTGATTAGGGTAGAGATTGTTATGGAGGATCTGTTTGTATATCTTTGTGTTCTTGTGGTGAAATGATTCAAAGCTTAGGGTAATCATTCTGTGAAGTAACCCTTGGGCCGTTTTTAATGTTGAATGAAGAGGATGGTGTGATGTAGAGTTCAGGTAGCAATCTGTGTTTCTTGGGTTTTGATACCAATCTGTGATTAATGTGCCATCTGGTTGTTTTATTATGAGTGTATCTAAAATGGTATTTTTTTGTTGTTTCAATTTCATGTGTAAATTGTAGGCGTGGGTGAAAGCTATTAAATGTATCTAATGTATTTTGAATTTGATCTGTGGGAACTGTTGTCAATATATCATCTACGTATTTAGTGATGAAGGGTAATGTGGAAGAAAGTTGTGGTATGACTGTATTTAATAGATGGGTCATGATTATGTCTGCCAGTATCGGGCCTAGGTTGCTACCCATGGCTATGCCAAATAGTTGTTTGTAAAATTCATTGTTATATGTAAAATATCCGTTAATACAGCAGTGTCGGATCATTGTAACGAACGTGTGTTCTTTGATAGAGTTGTGTGTGGTATTATGTTGGGGCATTTAAATGAACTATGAAATCATCATTAAATAATGGAAATATTTTTAAAATTAAAATATACATACCATCATCATCATGATTTTGCCAACCAGCATGGCATCTCTAGAAAAGAAGTTGCACCTAGAAAAAAAGCATAATTATAATAAAACGTTCATGATGTTTTACAATATTGAAAGCTATATTTTTGTTTTCAGTTAGGGGCGAAAGACATTTGCCTGTAATTTAATCACATTTGATCATATGAACTATGAAATCATCATTAAATAATGGAAATATTTTTAAAATTAAAACACATACCATCGTCATCAAAACAATTTAAATACAAAGTGAACAATATTTTAAGCTTTGTGTTTATTACAATGATAATTTTAACAAACGTTTTAGTGAGATATCTTTCTGCATTTCATTTGTGAACGTGTTGAAACAGAAATTAAATAATAATTCGTACTGTTGTAGAGCATGAGCACGTGGCCGACAAATAAGGTTATTACCAACAGTGGACACTACCGAGTAGTGAGTACCGAGTACCGACAGATTACCTTCTGGCTTCTAGGCTTATAGTCTTATAGTTGATTACTTGCTCATTTGTATGTTGTTGAGTGTCTTTTCTCAAGGCTGAAAGAAATAGTAGTTTTTTCTCTACAAATACTACTAATTGAAATAAAATATTCGAAATTATTTATTTTTTATTTATATGATATATTGGTTGTAATATTTTTATAATTGTCCTCATACAAATACTATTTGTATGTCTTGGTCAAAAACGTACATCAAAACAAGAAAAAACCTGTAGAAAATATTAATTAAAATGAGATATATAACAAAAATAATATTATGTCATAATATGTAAAACATGAAACATTTTTACTGTTCAAAATTAGTTATCTAGTATTCTTGGTTATCATGACAAATTTTTTAAGAAACAGAAATTGGTCAGGATTTTTTTTTTTTTTAATAAATATCAATTTCAAATTCTTATACTTTCTTATAAACTTCAGTTTGTTATATTTCCTTTAGAAATAGTAAGATCTTTTTTTCTATGTTTTTACAATAACAATTGTTTTACACAGAAAAACATCAAAATGATTTTTTTTTTTTTTTTTTTTTTAAGGCAAAAAACCAGCAAGAGCTATCATTGCCTTTATGTAGCTATGTGTGCTTATTTGTACAATGGTGTGTGAGTGTGTGTATGTGGATTCGTATGTGTGTCAGTTCTGGGAAGCGTGTACAGCCAGCTGAATTTTGTTGCTTATGTTATTCGTGTGTTAATGTAATGTTCTTGTTATATATAGTTGTATAGTTTTATTTTTTTAAGATACCCGATGACTTTGTCAACCATTTGCTGCTTATCCTGTAGGAGTTGTTTAAGTGGGAGGTGTAAGGAAGATGTGTAAAACCGTTGGCAGTTCCTTGTGGGGCACAAGATGTGTTCGATGGTTAGGCGTTCACCACATAGGCAGACAGGAGGGTCAGTACCTTCCATCAAGAACCCGTGTGTTATTCTTGTGTGTCCAATTCTGAGTCGGCAGATGATATCCTCTTCCCTCCTATTCGTTTGATAGGAAGTTTCCCGGGGCGAATGCTGTCTTTTATCTTTTTTAGTTTATCTCCAATATTCATCCATTCGGATTCCCATTTTTTTAATATCTCTCTTCTGAAGGTTGAAACGAGATCCTTTGCACACGCGGGCTTCAGATCCAGGTAAGCGCAGGGCTGTTTTAGCGGCAACGTCTGCCCGTTCGTTGTTTTTTATTCCTATGTGACTTGGAATCCATACAAAGGAATTGGAAATTCCCCTTAAGTATAGTTCATACACTGTCTCCCACACCCTGTTAACTAGGGGGTTTTCGACATTATAACTTTTAATGGTTTACAGGGCACTGTAGCAGTCACAAAAAAGAACAACTGTATTATGGTTCAATTGGACATCTGTAAGCGCTCTGGATATGGCCATAAGTTCGGCATTGAATATACTGTACATCGAGGGTAGTGTCAGGCTATATTGTCGGTTTCCGACAACAAATCCACATCCTACTTTATTGGCCATCTTCGACCCGTCTGTATAAATCTTAAGCGAGTCCCTATTTTTAGCCACTATTTCTAGGTATCTTTGTTTTAGTTCACATTTGCTGGTCGATTTTTTTGGATATTTGGATAAGGTAAAGTCAAATTTTATGTATTTTGTAAAGGGGTTATTGTTTAAGAATATGAAATTATTAGTTATACCATTTGTTTTTGTTTATCTTGCCAGTTAAAAAATATATATATTAAGTTTATTGTTTAGATCATAATATGTGTAAATAAGTATATTTTAAACAATCTGATCTGGAATGTCTGTTCTACAGAGCACAAACATAGCCACTGACAAAACAACTTTTTAAAAGACTGGAGACCACTTAATGATCTATGATGGAGCATGACAAGAATAAAGTGGAAATGGACTGGTCACTGAATGAGAGACATTGACAAACGGACAAAAAAGAGCCACCAATTGGAAACTGCTTCTATATTGAAGGACTAGAGGACATACCAGGAAGCAGTGGGATGCTGATATTGCAGACTTAGTGGAAGGAACTACTTGGAGCAAAAGAAGTTTTTGAAAAATATAGGAGAGGCCTTCACCTAACATCAGGGCCTCATTTCAAAAAGACAATCGTCTTAATTGTTTAAATTCATTTTCAATGCGCACTCTTAATTCTTAAAGTAAAGTAATAATAATTGGAAAATAATAAATGGCTGTTATTATTATCGCAATGTATGTATGTACCAATGTGCAGATTTGAGCTCTGAATCCAAAATCCAAACATGATTTATTAACATGTCAAGCTGATTTTAAAAAATTAAATCTTGCATAAATGGGTTTGGCTATTTTTACAAATAGAACCCATCACTCATGGAAACTTAAACTATACTTCATAAGAATAAGACAAATGAAATAAACATGTGATTATGTTATAGAAAAATATTTTATTTCTTGTATAAAACCTCAAACAGTATATTTATGGCTATGAGTTTTGTTTGATCTTCATCGCTTTGTTTTATTCAGCCAACTGAGAAAAAATAACACCCAAATGTTTGTTTGCACTTTAATTTTTCATCATAAGCCGTAGCTTAAGTATAAGACAAGTAGGTTTTCTCCCCATAACATTCAAATGTCTTTAAAAATAGTACATTTCAGTTGTGATGTCCCAGTTCTTTTGTGTTATCAAGAAAACTTCTTTTCTTTTAATATCAATGAAAAGGGAATTTATGATTTTACCTTGTTGTGTAGTAATTTCGGTATCATTTATCACATTTCGCCATCAACTTTTTTGTTTGTAGCAATACTCTAAATCGTTTTAGGATTTATTGTGGTACTTTAAATGGTAGAGGAAACAAAATGGTCATTTGATGAGAAGAACTGATTTCTGTTAGAGTCTGAAGGTATCGAAGGTGCATAGCAGTTTTGTTGGAGGTGAAGAGTTTTGAAGCTTCTTTCAGAGCTTTGGAAGCCTTCAATTCTCCCTGTGCCCCAATCACCTTTGCCTTCGCCTCTCTTGTCGATTGTGCTTCAATCGCCATAGAGGCCTGCAGATCAGAAGGAAGACTTATATCTTTCAGCAGGATAGATATGATGCTTATGCCCCAGTTACTCGAAACTGTCTTCAGCATTAGTTCAATCTCATGGCACAATTTCTCCCTTTGCAATAGAATTTCAGACAGGTCTTTGTCGCTGAGGATGGTCCTCATCGTAGTGGCCGATAACTGGACTGTGGCTGAAATGTAATTGTCCACCTTGACGACTGCCTTGAAAGCATCGACAACTCTGAAAAATGCAACCCCATCAATATTGACGGTACAAGAATCTTTTGTGATGACATCTTGCGATGGAATATCATAGGAAACCGTTCTCAAATCGACAACTACAAAGTCGTCGATAAAAGGCAGCACTATGAATGCCCCTGGCCCTTTTGTCTTGTGCCCCTTGACTTTTCCCAATCTAAACAAAATCCCTCTTTCGAATTCATTCACAATCTTTATCACAACAATTATCGAAAGCGGTAACGTTACTATAACAAGAATCGAAATTGCCACTATAATCAACAGTTCTGTAACAGTTTTCTTCTCATCATTAAATCTCTTAGGAGTATTAGACGTTTCAGGCAACTCATCAAATGGCTGTAGATTTTGGAACTCAAATATTTCCTCTTCTAATCTTTGTTGAACTGTTTCGTTCAATTCCTCTTGTTCATTTTCAGGGTTTAAAACCTTAGAATTGGTTTGTCGTAGTCCTGTTTGACGTTCAATTTGTGCTGGATAAACTCTATATAGGTAGCTTCCCATTGTAACTATAAAGAAAACTAACTCTTTAATATTGTTATACAGATAGCAGTACAATGGCTTCATTGATTTTCATTTTTAATTGATGTGAAATTCTAATTTTTCCCTTTTTTTCTTGAATGTCCATTTTCTTCTCTGTGAAGACCACTTTTTTAAACATACCATCCATATTTTGTTGCAATTAAATTTAATTGTACAGTTTAAAAAAAATAATAATCAGAATAAAAAATTATAAAACCAGTTACAAAGTAACACTAAAAAAAGGTAAATATAAAATATATGTATGGAATTGTAAACATTAATTGTTACCCAAACTGAAACATAAGATGTTATTCCAATTGTTCAAAATTTTTAAAAGAAAATTTTGGAATTATTAGAAACAGTTAAACACTAAAAAGCGTATTATGTTTACTTTTTTTGGTTTTAAATCAGTTGAAAATAAATAAATTTAAAAAATTTGTAGTTTCAATTTTTAACTATTTATTTTGTAAAAAATATGGTTTGATCTATTGAGTGACATTGTAATTTTTTACCATATGTTTCAAATAATACAGCTTAAAAATTATTATTTAATCTTTGTTCTAACTAACATAAATATACTTTTATTATGATAATAGATGTTTAATTAAATAAAGTGTAGAAATTTTATCCATATAAACTATTGTCAAACAAACTTAGTTTTGTGAGATATTATTTTGAAGTACAACGCAATCCTGAAGTTTGATAATTTAAAATCATTCTAATCTACCTCTTTCTGCTTCAATTTAGCAGACCTGTATGTAAAATGAAAATAACATTTATAATTATACATTGATATGTTCATTACATTCAAGAACTCGTAACAGATTTAGTTTTTTAAATGTATTTATGGATGATCTGAAAGTCCCTAACCCTTCATGAGCAATTCAATCGTTGATCTTGTAATAGAAATTTTCCTGAGTCTATTTATCAGCTCTCCGTGATCATCTTGGTCAGCTTATCTAATAAATTCAGATAATTATTAATATTAACTGAAGGAGCTTTGTATCATTAACATGGTGCTCATCACTTAACACAATTTATTTTGTATTTATTTAAAGGGCAGCAAGCCCTTTTATATTATAAATAATAAGATCACTTTATTAGATTCAGGGGTTTTATTCTTATAAGAAGAAGAACTCTTATTGTTATATTTGTTTGGAATGGCCTGTCAAAATTTTCTCTTAATTTAATTTTTGTAGCCGCCTTATTTATTTTTCTCCTTTTTATGATTTTATGACGTCTTTCTCTAAGGTCAGGTTTTATTTGAATTCGCCCTAAGAGTCTGTTCGCACATTTGTATGCCATCCTCTGGATATACTGAAACAGTGGCAATCCCAGCCCATTTGCATAGTTGAAATTGGGCAAGTATGCATTGTTCCTGTAAAATAAAGAGATGATTTTTTTTTGGATTTTTTTAAAACTGATTTTGTGCCTTCTTTTACAAGGATTTCGGCCACCATAAAACGGTTCTATATGTGACCAGAGGTCTAACAATTGCTGTATACAGCCAGAAGGCTATTTTTGGATTATATCTATTTTTTATTACAAACTCTTTGGGTCACACTTTCTATGATCTTCACTTGATGTTATTCTACTAGAGTTACTCTGAGATACTTTGTTCCCCTAGAGAGTAACATTTTTATTTTTTAGAGAGGTTGGTTTTAGATTAAGCTTCCTTCTCTTTATGGAAAGTTTGCATTTGCTATTAAAAAAACAAACAAAAAATCATTTTATTTGCACTTTATTATTACTACTAGGTCATCAACATAAACAATGGTAGATAGTATCCCTTATCATTGTAAACAATTATTAATTTAAACTATGATGTTCATCAAACTAGAGGCAGCAATTATCTCAGTTATTGAACATTAATCAACAGTAATTCAGACATTCAGACTAATAGAAAGAAATTTTGTCAGTTATGAGACTGTGCATGTTTGTGAGCAGTCAGATTATCGTTGACATATTGTACAAATAATTCAAACAGTAAGCATATTTTTTATCTTGTGAATGTTTGGAATTTTGACAATGATATGACCATCCCTGATTTGAATGTGGCCAGCCTGATTTGATAATTCAGCAAACATATAGGTAGCAATTTTTCATCATCGATAGTAATCTGTTCATGACAGATTTAAGAAATCAGACAGCAGTTATAAATTGAGATTTTTCAATAAAGTAACAAAAAGAAATTTTAGCAGTTGTTGTTTGCTAGTTTGGTATTATCTGGGCATTGTCGGCAATTTCTGGTTTTCTCGCTGATTTTCTCAGATACTATAAGAAGCTAGAAAATTTAGTTTTTCCAGATATTAGTAGTTTGTGAGACTATGCATGTATGTGAGCAATCTGATTATTTTTGACAATATTGTATAAACAACTCATACAGTAGATATATATATTTTTAGCTTGTCCATACTTAGGAATTTGACAATAATCTGATCATCCCTGATGACGGTGGGCAGCTTGATTTGATAATTCAGCAAACATAGATGGCAATTTTTTTTTCTACGGTTAATAATTAATAGAAATCTCATTCAAATTCAAATTTCAAAACAAAATGAGTTTGTTGGTTGTCTAGTTCCTGCAAAGAAACTCAATAAATACCAATCTGTTGATGATAGATTTAAGAAATCAGGGAGCAGTTATAAATTGTGATTTTTTTCAACAAACTAACAGAAAGAAATTTTGTCAGTTGTGGTTTGCTGGTTCTCAGCAAGTTCTAGTCTGCATTTTTTTGTTGATTTTCTCAGATGCTCGGGGAAGCTAGAAAATTTAGTTTTTGCAGGTATTAGTAGTTTATGAGACTATGCATGTTTGTGCTCAATCAGATTATTATTGACAATATTGTATAGATATTGTTCAATTAATTAAGGTTTTTAGTTGAGATAAAAAAGGCAGTTCACGAGCGGGATTCGAACCCACAATCTTCAGCTAGTTACGCCGCTATTCTACCACTGAGAACTCAGTGGTAGAGTGGCAGCATATCAAGCAGAAGGTCGTGGGTTCGAATCCCACTAGTGAGACTGACTTTTTTATCTCAACTAAAAACCTTAATTAATTGAATGATATTAATTGTTCAAGCGGACCACGAAAAATAGTGAATTGTATAAATAACTCATACATAGACATATAATTTTAGTGTGTCAATATTTGGGAATTTGACAATAATCTGATCATCCCTGATGATGGTGGGCAGCCTGATTTGATAATTCAGCAAACATAGAGGGAAATTTTTTTTTCTCTACCGTTAATAATTAATACAAATCTCATTTAAATTCAAGATTCAAAAGAAAATGAGTTTGTTGATTGTCATGAGTTTGTCTTGTTGCAAAGAAACTCAAGAAATACCAATCTGTTGATGATAGATTTAAGAAATCAGAGAGCAATTATAAATTGTGATTTTTTTTTGACAAACTAACAGAAAGAAATCTTGGCAGTTGTGGTTTGCTAGTTTGGAATTGTATGGACATTCTCAGCAATTTCTAGTCTGCATTTTCTCGTTGGTTTTCTCAGATGCTCGGGGAGCTAGAAAATTTAGTTTTTGCCAGATATTAGTAGTTTATGAGACTATCCATGTTTGTGCACAATCAGATTATTCTTGACAATATTGTATAAATAACTCATACAGTAGACATATATTTTTAGTTTGTCAATATTTGGAAATTCGACAATAATCTGATCATCTGCGATCATTGTGGTCAACCTGATTTGATAATTCAGCAATTATAGTGGCAGCAATTTTTTCGATCCTTGATCTTTAATCAGCAGTAATTCAGACAGCAGTTATAATTTGAGATGATTTCAATAAACTAATAGGAAGAAATTTTGTCAGTTGTAGTTTGCTGGTTTGATTTATTTGGACACTTATCAACAATTTCTGGTCCGCATTTTCTCGCTGATTTTCACAGATGCGTTTCTCCATTTTCTTAAAGTTAACAAGCGAGACTATGCGGACCAGTAAATTGCTGAAAGTTGATTATACGACCAAATCCAAAATTTTAGGTGTACATCTCTCTGTTCACACGATATCCAATTTTAATTTTAAACGTTTGCCTGCATAGATTTTTATGCAATGGAACTCATTAACTTATTAGTAATACATTTCGCACTTAAAAATCTACCAGATTTGAATGCGAAAAATCTCGGAAAAAATGTTTTGACAGTTTAAAAAAAAAATCAGTTGAAGCGGTTTTGATGAAATTGAAAGGAAAAGTTCGAAAGCGACACAATTTTCCGAGACAATGTCCGAGGGGTCCACGGTGGTCCGGGTCGTCTCGCTTTGCGTCCATTTGATCCGAGGGAAAATAATTTCTTTTCTGAATTTTCGCACCGCGATCTGAATCACTAAAATTTTCTAGGAATCAATATGAAAACATTGACGTCATTAACAGTTCCTGGGTGTTCCGTTATTTAACAACAGCAACCGTTTATCACTTGGTTATCCTGCTATCCGATCCTGTCGGAGATGAAATCGTAACAAGTACTATCAACAAACAAACTTTCCGGCCGAACTCCATGGTAAAAGAGAACTCAAATTATTTAGAGATGAATTTCAAGAAAGAACCTTTCCTCGACCACTACGACGTTTTCGAAGTAATCGGAAAGTGAGTCTTTGCTTATTAATTGCTTTCTTAATTGTCATCCTGGGCAAAGTCAATTATGATTTTTCAGCAACCCTAAACTGCGTAGGGTCAATTGACCTCTTCCATAAACTGCCCTGCACATACTGAAATTGATAAAACCAAAATCACCTGACTTTCTTCTTGTCATACTTACCTTGTTTGTGCTATTTTGAAACTAACTAAAGTTGAAAATTAAAATATTCTTAGATTCAATTCTTAGATTGTTGAGTATAGAATCAAGAATTTGCGTTTTACTGGGGTATCTCTAGAACTACCCATTATTTTGGATCCCTGAATGTATAATAAATTTATAAATGTCCAAATTTGTATCATAAATATTGAAAATTATAATAATTTTTCTGGTCAGAGTAAATTCCAGCTTTGCAGCAGCCCTAAACTGACTGCCTACGATCAATTGACCTCTTCCATAAATTGCCCTGCAAAATGACAAAACCCAAATCTGACTTTCTTCTTGTCATACTTACCTTGTTTTTGCTATTTTGAAACCACCTCAGGTTGAAAATTAAATTATTCTTGGATCATTTCAATTTTTAGATTGTTGAGTATAAAATCAAGACTTTGTGTTTTATTGGGGTATCTCCAAAATTACCCATTATTTTGGTTTCCTGAATGTATAATCAATTTTTAAAGGTCAATTTATTTATATCATAAATATTGAAAATTATAATAATTTTGCTGGTCAGAGTAAATTCTAGCTTTGCAGCAGCCCTAAACTGACTGCCTATGTTCAATTGACCTCTTCCATAAACTGCCCTGCAAAATGACAAAACCCAAATCTGACTTTCTTCTTGTCATACTTACCTTGTTTTTGCTATTTTGAAACCAACTCAGGTTGAAAATTAAATTATTCTTGGATCATTTCAATTCTTATTGTTGAGAATAAAATGAAGAATTGGTGTTTTACTGGGGTATCTCTGAAATTACCCATTATTTTGGTTTCCTGACTGTATATTGTATAAATGACCATTTATTTGTGGTGTAAATCTGATTGATCCAAAATCGCATCAATTCCTCCATGGAAAAATGTTATAATTCTTTTCTTCTACCCAATTTAAGAAAAAAAAATTGAGCCAATGCTAAACATTTCATTCAGACTAAAAACGACTCTTGGCTCAGGGAGAGACAAGTAATTGGAACTGTCATTTAATTGAAAAACCTTATAGTTTATTGCCCCCTTTGAGATATCTGTTATATGATATATAGAAGAAAGATAGAGATTAAAAAAAATCTTGAAAATTGTACAAGGTCTTGATAATCTTTATAATATCTGACTTTGACCAATCACCTGACTTTCTTCTTGTCATACTTACCTTCTTTGTGCTATTTTGAAACTAACTACAGTTGAAAATTAAAATATACTTAGATTCAATTCTTAGATTGTTGAGTATAAAATCAAGAATTTGTGTTTTACTGGGGTAACTCTAAAATTACCCATTATTTTTGTTTCCTGACTGTATATTGTATGAATGACCATTTATTTGTGGTGAAAATCTGATTGATCCAAAATCGCATCAATTCCTTCATGGAAAAATGTTATAATTCTTTTCTTCTATCCAATTAAAAAAAAAAAAAAAAAAAAAAAAAAAAAAAAAAAAAATTGAGCCAATGCTAAACATTTAATTCAAACTCACGATTTTTCCTTCTTGAAGGTGGGATAATAGGTCATCTCAAAAAAGCAACAACCAGTTTTTCTTTCAATCCACAACGTTTCGGATTTATTTTAATCCTTCCTCAGGTGAGTTAACGCAGTGGTTAAAACAGTTGTCAGTCATTAATATTTTCTAACAGTTTATTTAAAAAAAGAGCCAATTTCAAGTGTTTCAAGCCAAGTTCAAGAGGTCAAAATATTAAAACGTTTGTTCGGAGTCTGAAAGACTTAAATATGTACCAAACTGGCTCTTTTTTAAAATAAACTGTTACAAAATATTAATGACTGACAACCACTGTTTTAACCACTGCGTTAATTCACCTAAGGAAGGATTAAAATAAAAGCTAAACGTTGTGGATTGAAAGAAAAACTGGTTGTTGTTTTTTGAGATGACCTATTATCCCACTTTCGAGAAGGAAAAATCATGTTAAACTGTTGAGTTCGAAATATAAGAAAACATCATTAATTCAATTCAAACTAAAAACGACTCCTGGCTCAGGGGGAGACAAGTAATTGGAACAGTCATTTAATTGTAAACCTTATAGTGTATTGCCCCTTTGAGATATCTGTATATATAGAAGAAAGATAGAGATAAACACTCTTGAAAATTGTACAAGGTCTTGATAATCTTTATAATATCTGACTTTGACCATGGCTATACATTTGAAATGATTTTTTGTATACTTCTAACTAATAAATATGTTATTATCCTCCTTACTCTTACAGTTCGTATGTTATTACTATTAAGACTTTGCTAGATATAATAAATGTATTATTTAACACCAAAGTATACATTTTGAATATAAAATAAGTTTTTTCCCCTCTTTTTTCTAAATAATTGTGGTTTGTCTGGCCTAAGTCAATTTTGGTTTTACAGTAACCATTGACTGTCAGATGTCAATTGATCACCTACATCTACTTTTCTTGTACACACTGATACATTCACAATATCCTGAGTGCTTTTTATGCTCAAATATCCTTTTTGTAGTTTGGTCTTCACCGATCAATTTGATCTGCCTATTCTTCCTAAAGTGGTCAGTCAGATGCGTTCTGGCATTTAGCCATCTTCAATGTGATAGTGTGAAGTGAACTTACATTTTTGTGTGCTAATTTAGAGCATAACGTGGTGTAAATTTAAAATTTTGTTTTATATGTCAATCCTAGTTATTTGGGTGTGAAGAAATTTAATAAATATTTGAATGAGACTAAGTAATCAATTTTCATGTTTATGATGGTTTTCTGTTTATGCATTTTAGTTGAAATGCAAAACACTAAAATGTAAAACAAATATCGGACAGAAGAAATATTAAAATATAGTATATGGTAGGTTAGATGAGGAGTTGATGTCTGAGGGGATCGAAGTCATGATAGCTCAAGTGGTTAGAACAGCGGTGTATTGAGCTGAAGGTCATGGCTTTTAATCCTGCTCGTGACACTAATTTTTCATCTCAGCCAAAAACCTTTGATAAAAAAAATAATGAATTGGAATAATTAATGTGGTCAATTGACTGTATCATTCAATACAGTTATATATTATTCAATGTATTTGTTTAATGGTACCACTAAACAAATTTGTATTAATTTAATAATAATTATTTTTCAATTATAACAATTTTTTTTTTTTCATGGTATGTCATTTGCCAAGGTAAAACAACTTTTCATTAATACATTGTGAGATTTTCTCCTGTGGTCTGTGGGGTGTTGACTCTTGAATCTTATCAATTTGCCTATCCTCACTGGGCTGGACTGTCAGAAGTGGTTTTGTATTTTGCCACCTTTATTGTGTTTTCTTTATTATATTAATAAAAATTAGGTCAGCGCAACCAGTCATTTCCAATTGACAGAATGTTAAATTTTATCAGTAGTGATACGAATCAAATTGACTTGTTTATACTGTAAACCTGATAGCAACATCACCCTTTGTGTTCAAATTGGCGTTATTTTAAATATTACAATCTATGAACTAATTTTTTCATAAAATTTCTGATGTTCTTTTCTTATAATTGCTTTCTTATTCATCATCCAGATCTGAGTCAATTCCAAGATTTTGCAGCAATCCTGCAAAAGTATACTTTAAAAATCAATTTCCCAGATAATATTTTTTAATTGCATACATATTTAACCTCATTTTCTCATTTAGGATTTTTAAAAAGTTTTAACGCATTTTTCCCTTTTCTTTCAGAGGTCATTTTGCTGTAGTTAAGAGGTGTGTAAATAAAGCCACCGGCAGCGAATATGCTGGAAAGTTTATTAGAAAAAAACGGGTCTGTCGTGGTGTACCTCCTGAGGATATCGAGAGGGAAGTGGAGACGCTTTCAAGACTGGAACACCCCGGTATCATTCAGTTCCATGACGTTTATGACACTGGACAGTTTGTTGTGCTCCTCTTTGAACTGTAAGTATTTTTTAAATTATTTTTTATTGAAACATGACATCCTCTAATGTATTTTGTGGCAGAGTGACAGGAGGAGAATTATTTGAATTTATTTCACTAAGAAAAAATTTAACAGAGGAGCAGAGTATTCACATAGTAAGGCAGATTATAGAAGCCGTCAGCCATATGCACTCTTTAAACATAGCCCATTTAGATCTTAAGGTATTTATTCATTAATTAAAACATTATTTATGATAGTCTAGTATTGACAATTATTTCAGCCTGAGAACGTTTTACTTGTTGAAAAAGTCGACCTTCCCACTGTCAAGGTAATTGATTTTGGACTGTCCCTCCGACTCGACACGGTAGTGGAGGTCAAAGCGATGTTCGGCACGCCAGAGTTCATGGCGCCGGAAATTGTCAATTTTGAAAATCTAACTTTGGCCACGGACATGTGGGCCATAGGCGTCATAACTTACATCTTGTAAGTTGATAATTTTAACGTAAAATATGCCCGACTAACTACTTTGCACTCGTTCAGGTTGAGCGGCGGCGCTTCACCTTTTCTCGGTGATACTGTACAGGACACCTACACCAACATATCAAGTGCTACTTTTAAATTTGACAACGATTATTTTGAATCAGTATCCGAGGCTGCAAAGGATTTTATTATTAAATTACTTCAGAAAGATCCAAAGTATGTTTTCACTTATTTATTAAAAGATAAGATTCTTTTCTTTACATTTAATTTATATTTTTTGAATTTGATAAAAAAATTTGCTAATTATTATTAATTAATTAATTTTAGGAAAAGAAACAGTGTGTTTGACTGCCAGAAACACCCATGGTTGCAAAACAAAGTAACTAGTAATGTTATTATTATATATTTTCTTTAACTAATAAAAAGTAATCCATTATCAAATTATTGAGCCGTTCAAAAGGAAATTTGTTAAATTTGCATTCATGGCTTCAATATCTTGTGTGGGTCTTGCATGGCAAAGTGGGCGATGGTGGCTATGGATTTATTGATTTTTTAAGCTTTTCGCTCTTTTTTACCTCTAGTGCCTTACTTACATCTTGTTTGTTCATACCCCCTTTAGACATTGCCTACAGTGAAGCATTTTAAAAAGGTTGTTTTCCTTCGAAAACCGGTAAAATGAAAGAATTCTTGAGAAAGCAAGAAGTGCTATAGAGCCTGAGTGTTGACAGTTTTGTTTTGGAGATTTTCAAGAAGTAAATCAGTAAACGAAAACATGAAATCCACGTATGAAAAGAAAATGGACGAGCAACCAGTATCGTTAGATATGATCGTGAGTTGATGTTTCTTAATATGTAGTAAATAAATTAATTACTAAATCGTAAGTAATTTGTTAATATCACACACTTCCAGCTGATATTTATCACGCCAACAGACTGTCGATAAATAGCTTAAATTATTAAGAAACTGTTTTGATATCAATTTATTAACAGTAGGGTAAAATAGAATATTTTATTAATAAAAAAGAAAAAAAAACTTCGTAACAATTGTAAATCATAACTAGCCCTTCCACTGTGTGAGTCGTAGTGTTGAAAATATCAAAAATTTTACTAGGAAAGATTTTTTTTCTCTAAAGCAATTCTTAAGATAATTATTATTTATCATTTTAATAATATTAATTTTGAAATCAATTGAAGATATAATTTACGACCATGTACAGATGTGAATACACTTCTTCAGTGCTTTCTCAATTGTCTTCTAAGTCTTTCTAGTCTGTACCAAAAAAAAAAAAAAAAAAAAAAAATATGATTGAATATATATGAAATTCTCAAACAAAACAATTAAGTATTGAAATTTGGTCGTTACCGATCATTTTAGTCTGCTTATTATCACTGGGTTTGGTCTGTCAGCACAATTCTCAGATTTGATAACATTCCTGCATGCTCTCTGTATGAAGCCAAAGAATTGCACTCTTCACCAGGTGGGACACATTGAGCAACCTTTCTCTGCATGCCTGACACATACGAAGGCTTTAGCCCAAAAGTGTCAACCTCTTACGGCCTATTCTTAATCGGGTGAGGATGACTCTTCTTTTATGAGTCAGCTCATCAGAGGGCTATCCATCGACAGTGCTCTTGGTATATGAGAGTCCATAGAATTTGATTACATATTTGTATATTCTACATAAAATGACAATAATTGTTGAACTGTGACTGATTGTCTGAGAAAGAAATGCTGCAGAAAAATCCGTAAGATTTTAATTAGTATGTCACTGGTAAGACCACCACTACCGTCCCATCCATGACTTGGTAAAAAAAAATATATAGTTTAGAGATTTTAGCCTTTTGATTAATTTAAAAAAGTATATTTGTAGATAAATTAAGTAGTAAATTAATGCACCCTTTCCAGTATTTTGATCATTGATGGATCTCATTTATGGTCATTCTCTTTATATATAATGATTTTATCACCAATGATCAATATTATAAAACCACAGCATTCTAAATGATCATAAATTTTTAATTTGGCGTTGATTAAATTTTTCTGAATTTGTGATGTTTCTCATTTCTGCATGTTTGCACCTTTGGTATGAAAGAAATTCTCTTGCAGCTTTTTTTTTTTTTATATAATAAAAATATCCTTTTAAAATTTTGTTCTGGCCACCAGTTAGATGAATCAATTTTGCACCCTCGGGGTAAAACTGGATTAAGTCCAAAAATCCAACGTTTCAGGATTGTTTAGACCTTTGTTACAAATTAATTTTTTTTTATATATTTTATTTCCCTTTTTCCTAGTCAACTTTATCCGTTGTGTAGTCTATCAGGCCTAAATACACTTGACTATGCACTTATATTGTTTTACCAAAATTTGACTTATTCAGTTTTCTACTGAGAGTGCAGAATTATAAAAAGCTTTTTCACTGTAATCATACGTTTTAAGAAAAATCGATGTCTTCCTTTCTTTTCCCTTTTAGTAACACCTCAACACCAATGCCTACGTTGAGGATACTTAAATTTGTTTTCTATAAGCACATATATTTTGTTATAACCAGATGTTAAAACATTGAAATGTATGAATAAAATAAAACAAATTGTCTTTACAGAATTAAATATAATTTGACAAGACATTTTTATTTTATGTTTATATTCATCACCAATAAGAAAACAAAGGTTTACATTATTTTCCTGGACGTCTGGTTGCAGCAGCCATGGAAGTAGGCTCTAAACTGTTTTATTTGTAAATAAATTTTTAAGTTGTAGTTATGTGATGGTTTATTCTTTAGCCTTCTTGAAATTCTTTTTTCTTCAAATCATACTCTTTACAAAATTGTTCTTAAATTAATGTTTTTAGGTAACTGAAATATTCACACCCCCTATTTCATTATTAAGTGCCATTAACGAGGGCAATCTGAACGAGTTTGAGGATATATTGAACTCCGGAAACATCGACGTCAATCAAACAAATAAAGTCAGTGATTTTTAAATCTCGACGTTATGGGTTTTAATGAATAATTTCTTTGTTAGAATGGGGCGACAGGTCTACATCTTGCTGCCGCTACGGGCCAGACAGAAATGGCCAGACTTCTACTCATGTGCGGTGCGAATGTTTCAATCTCAGACTGGCAGGGTGACACCCCTTTGATCCATGCTTCACGCCATGCCAGTACAGATATTCTAGGCATGCTTATTAAAGCAGGAGCCTGTATTTCTGTACAAAACCATGTAAATAATTTTATTTAAAAAAACTTTATAGAAAATATATGTTTTTATTTTATAATAGGAAGGTGACACGGCTCTTCATGTAGCAGCAGCCTGGGGGGAGTTGGAAGTCACAAAGATTTTAATAGAAAACGGCGCATTGCTACATATACCAAACCACCTCGGCCAGTTGCCGATTCACATCGCAATTCACAGGAGGCATACAAACGTGGCTTTATTCTTGTTAAACAGCGGTTCAGAATTTGATATTCATGATTGTGTAAGAAAAAATCAATACCATTACTGTCTCGATTGATCAAAAATTTCTTTTCAGGAAGGAAATGCTCCGATTCACTTGGCAGTCCGTGAAGGCTTATTATCTGTTGTCAACGCTTTATGCTCTATGGGCTGCAACATCGATGCAGCTAACAACCAAGGCCTTTGCCCCATTCACATCGCAGCCAGGCTCGGCCATATTGATGTCGTAAGGTAAATATCATTTGTAAAATAAGTCTGTAGCATTTTTCAATAATTCATTTTTCTCTTGTGTTTTGAAGCAATTTTTATTTAAACATTATTGCTTATACACTCTGAAAATTAGTTAAGGTGGTTTTATTTGTCAGTTTTGTCTGAGATCTCGTTTTACAGGGTGTTTTGCTGATTTAATATAGAGGAAAATTGCATTTTCAACATTTAATTTTTTTTTAAATTGCAAAGAGAAAACTGACAATTGCTAGGAAAATTTGTGATGTGTATGGTGCTAAGTTTTTTTTTTTTTTTACCATAATGCATACCATTTATTGTAATGTAAACAAACAAATCTACAAAATAATAACATGACAAAATTAATGTTATTAATGGGCAGAATTTTCTGATGCTTTTATTTAAAATTAGATGCCTGTGTTTAATGGGTTGCAACACAGAAATTAAGAACAGCGATGGCATCAAGGCAGAGATTACAGCCCTTAAATACGGTTTCAATGATATTAGCGATCTTCTCAATAAAATAAAATCAGTGAGTTCATAATTTTGCCTTTTATTGATAATTTTATGCATTAAATAAACGTTTAAATTTTGTTTTTAGAATTATGTCAGAGATGTGTACATTCGTCAGTTGATACCGACAGGACAGCCGTTGCCCCGTTTCAACATCCAAGTTTTCGGCCACTCCGCTGTAGGAAAATCGACCCTGCTTGATACTATGAGAACCGGATATTTCAGCGGTTTCTTTAAAAGGACAAAAACCAATCATTTCAATACCAAATATGCACCTCTTTTAGGGACTTTATGTATGTTTTTATTTATTTTTCTATTTAACAAAAAATCTATATTTAATTTGCTTTTTAGCTCAGCCCAATTCTCCAACTCGAACCCACATAGAGCTGGATTCGACTTCTAGGCAGAATTCTTTAAATTTCGATACTTACAATCATCATTCAACTCATGGAATTGATGTCCAACAAGTATGATTTAGTGTTCAATGTTTTTATAATTTAATGTTACTAATTAATTATTTTCAGGCTTGGATATCTGGTGTGGGTTATGTGACATTGTGGGACTTCTCAGGGCAAGATACATACTTCTGTTTTTATCATCACATGATCACAACTTCAGCTAGCCATGCCGTTATAGTCTTAGTGTTTAGTTTAAACGATTCCCCGACCATCCAGTACAAACAGTGTTCTTTCTGGTTGTCTTTCCTGCAGGCCAGGATCCCGCCGACAGAGCCCATTGGGAGCTGCGGGAAGACCAATAATATGCCAAAAATTATACTAGTCGCAACCCACGCCGATGTCGTAAGAGCGCCAAAATTAACGAATGGAGATTTCAACAGCCCTCAGGCACAAGATTTGACGAAAAGACTAAGAGCAGAATTTTCATCGCATTTTGATATTCACCCGACTCCGATTGTTGTCGATGCGCATATTCCAAATTCTTACGGTGTCAAATTATTAAAGAGTACACTTTCAGAGCTGAAAACGTCAATGTGGCAGGTGTGTTTTTAATACTTTCACCCGATTTTAATTCTAATTTTTTTTTTATATTGTTACCAAAAAAATTGTTAAGGGATTGCCTAATAAACAAGGAAGTAGTTCTCAAGCGTCTTCAATATTTGGTCGAAAGGGCTACAACCTCCTTTTGGAAACTCCACTTCAAGAAACCGGGCAGTTAAGTCCTGAGTTTTGTACAAATCACTCTTTCCACACAAAGAACCGTTTGTTTATTTGTCCTCCACACCGGCACCTAGAAAACGATGGAAAGAACTTCACCCGCTCACACTCTGGACCCCACAACTTCACAGAAGATTGTTGCATTTGTGAAAAAGTTTGGAACACCCTCTCCCACAGAAAGACATTTTTTGCATCCAAAACTATCAATTAAGCATTGAAGAGAAATCCGTTGAAATGTTCTGCACCCCATTTCCTTCACTATGAATTTTATTTATTTCTAATTGATTTTTATCATATAATTAAAGCTAAAATGGCAAAATTATCTTGCCACTAACCAAATATATAAGAAAAAAAATTATAAGGTAACCCCTGTCCTCCGTCCAGCAGATGTACTGTATGAAGTTAATCGCACAAAGTTCATGTCCAAAGAATCAAATGTTTGTGTTTCCTGTGAAGTTTATGTTGTTTTTTAATTAAAACAAATACAGTGAATGTTTTGTTAAATGGTGGATAGAATATTTTAATAATTTTTTTTAATTTTAAATAACAGGGGCTAAGATCAATGAATGGGTTCACTGAAGCCATAGTCTCTTGGCTTCCGATGCTTAGGAAGTCTGCCGAATCTATACCTGTTATGACCTGGGAGGCATTTATAGCCGAAGCGAGGAATCAGGTCAATCCATTGGCGAGCAACGATCACTTTAGCATCCTTTTCTCGCACTTGGAACAAATGGGAGAAGTCAGTTGTCGATCTCGAATGCTTTAACACTTTATTTCGTGCATCTTTTATTTGATTACAGGTTATAATCGTGGGAGATTTGATTATCTTAAGCCCGAGCTGGTTGTGCGGCCAGGTATTAGGCCAAATCCTCTCGATCGATTTTATAACGCACGCTCGAATCACCGGCTGCTATACCGTCGAAGATTTTCAAGTTGCTTTTCCCGAAGCTGATTCAATGGCGATGCTGGAAGTTTTGGAAGCATTACAACTATGTATTCAGGTAGTCTAAATATTTTGATTAAAAAAATTAAAGGATAAATCAATTGAATAAATAATGTTTATAATTATAATTAGTGTGATAATGATGGGGAGTTGGAATACGAGTTTCCATGTTATAATCTAGTAGAAAGGATAGAAGGATTGTGGGAATGCTCGGATTGTAGATACAAAGATGGGGCTTACGGCGGGGTGAGGCTTAAAACACCTGAGAACACTACACACCTAATACACTGTATTTTTCCTCGTCTTCAGGTAATTACAATTTTTTTTAAAACCGAAAACAAACTTTTATCATTGTAAAATTGAAGGTTGAGCTGAGAAAAACAGTTTTGTGTTATTACGACTGGCAAAGTGATTTATACCAATGGATGGGGGGTTCAAAACTTTGCTTCGGCGCAATCGAGAGTATTATAACGTTTGAAACTGAACCAGATTCAGGCGATGAGTGTATTGAGATTAAAGTGAGAGGGCCGGCCGGATCTGGGAAAAATTGCTTTTTATTTATGGAAGAACTTTTAGGAATTATTGACATGGTTAGTTTATTTTTTAAGTCGCTAAGGAATTCTTTATTAATAATTTGTATTTTTTTAAGGTGCTACTGGATATTGTGCCTGGTCTTCTTATGGAGAAGCATACATTAAGTGCATACGATTTACGAACTCACGCATCTCCTGTGTATTGCTACGCCCCTGACGTACTCATGAAAGCATCACTCGAAAGTAAAGGATTTGAGACGATGGTGACCAACCCTCTTGCAAACACGTCCGAGACGATTCTCGAACTGATATCGTTCGGAATGGAAGAGGTATGGAAAAATTGTAAAAGATTCGCTTTTCCAATCGAAAATTATTCCAAATTTGCAGGAGGTGCAGAAACTCGTTTGCAACGCTTATGAAATAAACGTGGACATGTTAAGCACTCTGTGCATGCAACAGGTCTGTGCAATGTTGGATCCTCCAGACCCTCATGGGAGGGACTGGTGCCTCCTCGCTGTCCAGTTGGGCCTTACGAACAAATTATCAGTGATCGAAAATACATCTCACAGTAGGACGGCGTCAACACTCCATCAGCTTGCGTGCCAAGTAGACAATAGCATAGGTAAAAAAATAAATAAATAAAATAATAATAAAAAAAAAAAAAAAAAACGCATTGACATAGCACTCATCTTTGCAAGTAAAGGTCCTGGGTTGAATTCAGTGGCCCTGCATTTAAGCCCGACAACTTACAAATGGATTTTTTTTTTTTTTTTCAAAAACACCGGCACTCCAAGGTTTCATATAATCTTCCAGTTCAAATACCGTCATTTATTAAAAAAAAAGAAAATAAATAAATAAAAACTCATTAAATTCACTAATTTCATGGTCCGCTTGACCAATTAATAATATATTACAATTAAGGTTTTTAGTTGAGATAAAAAAGTCAATGGCACGAGCGGGATTCGAACCCAAGATCTTCGGCTAGATACACCGCTGCTCTACCACTTGAGCTATCGTGACCTCGATCCATTCGGACACTGACTTCCCATCTCAACCCCACCTTTTGTATTTTCCCTCCTTTTTGCCATTTTTCAAATTTCAAAATGGGAAGTTAGTGTCTGAGTGGATCGAGGTCACGATAGCTCAAGTAGTAGAGCAGCGGCGTATCTAGCCGAAGATCTTGGGTTCGAATCCCGCTCGTGCCATTGACTTTTTTATCTCAACCCACCACCTTTTTTGTATTTTCCCTCCTTTTTGCCATTTTTCAAATGTCGTGTAATCGGATTGGATTCTTGACGGCAAATGAAATGGCCATGGAGAGCTTTAGTGTGTAGGTCACGATAGCTCAAGTGGTAGAGCTGCGGCGTATCAAGCCGAAGATCGTGGGTTCGAATCCCGCTCGTACCTTAATTAATTGTAATAAATAAAAACATAAAAAATAATTTACAAAAATAAATAAAAAATAAATATAAAAAATAGTTAAGATATTTTAACTCCTCAAACAATTCTGCCTAAGTGAAAATTTTCTTCTACAATTAAATATTAATTTTAACTCTTTAATGTGTTTTTTTAAAGTTTCAATCAAGTTTAATCAACGTTTTAATTGCCAATAAAGTTTGATCCAGGCTATCAAGCAAAGTTTTTCAAGTCTTGAGTCATTCCTTTCGAGTAGCAAGCAATGCTAGTAGCATCTTTCACACATAAGCATTACTTCCTTTGGAATCACGGACTTATACATTCCCCCAATTTAAAAAAAAATTATTGGATCGTTTTTGGGAAAAACTTTGCTTATGGACACGACCCCTCAGGATTCGCTTTAGTGAGGCCTTAAGGAGGGCTGGACTGGCACTGGGGACAATGCTTTGGCTGGGCGACTGGTCCCCGCCCGCTTATTGCTGTGAATTCACGTTGCCTGCAATTCTTCGCCCCACATCATTTTGCTGTTCACAGGTCAGATCTTTCCTTTCGTGAAATTTGAATTGTTTGTTTTCTTAATTGTTAACTACAGTGAAAAACAAAAAAACAAAAAAGATGAGCGGGCGAAGAGAAAACAAACAATTTCATATTCCGGCGGTGTACTCATAAATTGTAACTTCGATTACAAATCAAGATAAAAAAAAAAACGCATTTGTCCACTCTCAAATACCAAGACCTTTTTTTTTTTTTGTCTCCATAGATATTTGAACAAATAAACAAAATTAAAAAATGAATAATATAATATGAATAATAAAATCCACTGTTCGAATGTGGCCTTCCTCATCTAGAGTTAGAAGAAAAGAAGAAGCGATCCTAACTAGGCTGAGAATCGGCACTTGAGCCACCGAGGGATACTTGATGGCTCGTCAGCCACCACCGATCTGTCATTTATGCAATGAGACTGTGACTATAAAACATATGCTTATATCATGTTACCTATATGACAGTATCAGAAATAAGTACGCTTTACCAAATACACTACCTGAACTTTTAGGGGATGATCAAGATACACTTACAAAGCTGTTTCACTTTTTAAATGAAGCTAATGTACTCAACAAAATATAAACGAGCAATGTGTAACATGGGACTCCTTGTGGCTGGGCGCGGGTCATGGGGTTGGGCATGCTGGGGGGTTGTTGTGTGGGTGCGCCCTTCTGGTGTGTGCTGGTTCCTTGATCTTCTTCCCGCAGGGAAAAAAAAAATTCTCTCCAGCATAAACACAAGGCATGCTGCATGCGATTTGGCACGCTCTCGAGGTGATTCAGACCAAGGAGGGCTCAGCCTTCCTTGAATGTACCGACTCGCTAAGTACTGTCTGGAATATACAAGACAGGTTCTCTGTGCACCCTCTTGTCGTGATCTTGTTAGAGAAATACACTAAGCTGGAGGGCCTTTGAAAACGGCGGTTGTTGCCTGGGTTCCCAGACACATCGGCCTGGAGGGTAATGAACATGTATATAACTTCTCAATATAAATATACAAATCCCAGGCTCTGAATATGATCTAAATTAAGATCAAAATATTGGCACAATAAAGAAAATGTTTTTCTAAACCTATATACATTACACAAGACCGCATCTCACGATCTCCAAATAATCATTAATTAACTGTTCCTAAATACTACATCCTTAGTATATAACTTTTCAATATAAATATACATTTGGGGGTGTCGGTGGCCGCAGTGGTCCCGGGTTCGAATCTTTACTTACAAATGGGCTTTTTTTTCACAAACCCTCGTGTTTACATAACGTCATAGTTAAAATACCTTCGTTTCTTGTTGCAGGTTTTCTCATAAATAAACTAAAAGGGTTGGGAAGAGAAGACGTTGCCAAATTTCTAATGAAATATGCCCCTCTTTACAAGGTGAACGGCGAGGAGATTCAGGTGCAAGCGCAGCAGTTGGCCGACAATTCGAGGAATCTTTAATCTGTATTTAATGACCCTAAGGGCAATCTTAACTTAGTCGGTCTTCATCCTATAGACTATATTTGTACATTATATCATTTGTTATCCTTTTTATAAGATTTGCCATATCAAAAAATATTTATTTTATTAGTTGTATTTTGATTTGTGACTCAGTGATATTACACATTAAGAAGACATATGTTGAATATAGCTCAGACCGAAATATTTGGGACCATCGTTTTAATAAATTTTTGAAATTAAATTTTTTTTTTGAAGATATGGAATATTTTAAACGATTCAAAGCAGAATTGATTATAAATGTGTAAACATTTCATGTTATGTTATAATTGTCAAGGCTGTAACAATGGACATATCTTTAACAGTGTGAACTATTTATTGCTTTCTCTATTATTTATTTTATTATTCACATCTGTTTAGAATATAAGTCTGATTAGTGTTCAAACTCAGTGTGCAAAATGTGTAAATAATCATTGTCATTGAAAGTTTGTTCGTATGCGTGTACATGTGTATTTTTGTGACAGCTTAAAGATATGCGATGTGCAGTATATTTTTTTTTACAAGATTTTGTGCTTGTGTCGCTGATGACAGGAAATCAAAAGATTCCCCGATATGGTTTTGGTATACAAAGCAAGGGGATTCATAATTAGACTGAACAGTTTACATCCACACTTTGAATATAAGCAAATAGAATAATCAATGTATAAATGAAATGTTTCAATGATTTCAATGAAACAAGTACCTGATGAGGTTGCGTGTTTAAATTATTTATTGTATAACGTAATAAATGTGAATCATAAAAATTTGAATATCAAATACAAATTTTAAAATGTGGCCTAAAGTATTGATTCATTTTATCAATCAACCGGATGGGAAATTGAGAAAAAATTGTAACAATAAGTCGAGTGAGATATTTTTCTTAATATGTTCGAACAAAACGTGAATTTTTTGTACACGCATACGTGAGAAAGGGTAAATTGAAAGACAGAAACCCTTCGCAAGTAAGCCATACAATCGAATTTGAAGACTGTACATTATATTCTCATTAAGTTTTTATTATTAAAAATATTTATTTGTTTAATATTTGTTAAGTAACGACGTGTTTGATTGTAAATTAAAAAAAAAAAAAAAAAATAGCGATGAAACAAAACTTAACGCTTGTGATTAAAAACTTTTTCCCTTAAAATTCAGAATTTCATAGAAGGCCTTATAGATAGAAATCGTGTTTTTGAAAAAAAAGCAACTGCTTTTTCACTTGAAATAGTGTAGGCGTGCAAACCTATTAGTGCTTCCGGAACATTCACCATATTGTTTTTCTGCAAAACACAATGTTTGAAATTTAAATCTATTGCCATAAGGTTAGTGCTAAAATTAAAAATTTGTTAATTAAAAAAAAATTAATGTTAAAGCATGTTTAATAAAGAAATAAAATAATGTTTTAGATTTTAATTTTTTTATAAAGCAGAACTGCCCCAGTTTAGAAATAAATGAGCCAAATGATAAAAATGGAAAGAGAAAATTTGTCTTGTTAAAATTTAACAATATGAACAATGTTTTTTTTCTACTTTGTATTGCTGAATAAGAAATATTAAAAAGTACACCCATTTGTTGAAAATTATTAACAAAAGTTATTGAATTATAAGATTAAATGCAAGTTTTAGCTATATACAAATTTTGTTTATTAAACAATCCGAGAGAATTTTCTTTTACAATTTTTAAGGATGAGTTGGTACGAATCCCATCCCAATCCTTAAAAGAGATCCTTGAATTTCCTCTTGATCGTCTTGAATAAGGCGCTTTAAGGCTGCTCTTCTTACCTGATGAAACACATTTAGTAAATAAAAAAATAAAAAAGTTCTAGATGTTTTCTTTACAGCTAAATTTTCGGCCTTAGCCACTTTTGCTTCTTCTCGCAGAGTTAGCAACAAAGGTTTCATCTGGTGGTGTTTAGTCGGGTCATTTTCGATTCTGACATCTTCCATTTCATTAATTCTTCTGACTCTAATATAATAAGAAAAATAAAAATTGTGGAAAAATTTACAAAAAATTACATCTTACATGCTACTACAGAAATCCATTAAACATGGGTTATTTTCGACTGCATATTCCTTTCTGAATCTTTCATTTACGTCCATTTTGTTAAAATGCTAACAGTATAAACTAAACAATAATAAAAATAAAATTTAAAAACCAAAATGACTGATGTATGAACATCTGGTCAATAAGGTGCCTTAGCAACGGTTGTTTACTAGATTTTTATCCGTGTAGTGCTAAATTGGAGATTCTTTCATAATGAACCCTCCTGGGCTATCTTGTCCTCATACATCGAAGACTAGCTCCATGAATATTCTCAGGGACGATAGCAATTATGAAACGGACTATACTACGACGACAAAAGAACACTTTGGGCCTCCAGTTTTTCCAAACGTACCACGAGGTGAGCCGAATACATCCAATCGATTATTCTTATGTAAATAAAATTTAAATTGGCAGCGAGGAGAAGGGAGATTCTCCGTGATTTCTTCATGCGCGAAGTTGCCGAGCAAGTTTTCAACGAAGTCGAAAAAGAGGAGGAATCGTCAATGGCGGCTTGCAAATCTGACTACAAAGATGAGTACACCGTTGAAGGGTTTGTTATAAAAAACCCTTTGGACATGGTGGACACTGAAGTAAGAAACTGATACACAATTGAAATGTGTACGTTTATAAAATTGAATATTTTACAGATGTTTGTTAAGTATCCGCTTTATTCTGACATGGCTCAGACCATTTACTGGAGCAGGCTGGACCGAATAAAAGGCAAGGCAGTCAGCTCAAACCCAATGGCTGCTTTTAGAAAGACGTCTCATTTCGCAAAACAATGGTATGACGAATTGGAATAAACATCTCAAATTAAATACAAATAAAAATACAAATGGTTATTTAATTTAAAATTCTTAACATGTTTCCCATTAATTCACTAAAATAGATTTTTAAAAATAAAATAACAAAAAGGGACTTAACAAAAGATCACAGTTGCTGTATTGAGGATTAAAAATGTTAAAATAAGAAGAAGAACATATGCTTTACAATGAAGCTTCATCAATAAAATCCTAAATCTTTACAGATTTTTCTCATCACCATAAGATCTTTAGTATATTATTTATTTAGAGTTTTTCAAAATGAAATTGAATCATAAATCTGTAATTTGGACATTACCGATCATTTCCGCCTGCCTTTCCACACTGTATTTGTCTATGAGATAAGTTTCTGCATTTCACAATCTTCAGTAGTCTGTGTGATTTCTATGGAGTCAAGTCTGTTTTATAAGGTGGCGGTGTTTGGACAATAAAAATAAATATTTCTGACAAATTCTGCAAGGATAGGATGAGATGATCAAGCTAGATCAGTGCATTGTAAGATTTCTGGTTGAATGAATGCGAGGGGATAAATTTATAATTTTTCTGATCAACCCAGCCCTCTAATTTTCTGATATGTTTTAGTAATTTTTTGTGATCTGTCACAAGATACAATTTCAGTTAATGGCAGTTATGGCAGTAATTACTCTTTATATTAACACCAATACACCTGTGTTTGTTCATCTTGACTAAATATTTATACTTGCTTTTGTCTATAGAAATTGAATTTATATTGTGTATATAATGAGATTTTGTTCATATTCACACTATTTACATGTGTTATATTTAGTTTGTACAACTGCATATTTTTTTATACTGCTTTTAGAATCTAGTTTATTAAAAACATTTCCAATTTGATAACAATCTGGGTTAATAAAGGACGATATTCTTTCCTGCGAGTACAATCTTACTCTAACATGATGATTTCTTTTATCATAAATTTGTAAAAACGATGTTATATATAGTAAAGAGTTAATAAGAAAAAAGTTAATAAGAAAATGAAGCTATAACTTCAAAAATGTACAAAGTCAGCAGGGGTAATTAAGATACCAAAATCAGTAAGACAAAACCATTGGGCAGGTATGTAAGTGTCTTTCAAGTGAAAGCTCATGAAAGTGAGATACACTTCAATCTGAACAGAATGTATCAAATATTGCCAAATACTATCAAGCACCAAAGACTCATGCTAGATAAGATCACTACTAGTTAATTTTTAATTTTATGTTTTATAAATTATGTAAATATTTTGTCATTTTTATGATGTTTATGGTATAACAAAACTTTTATAGCAATATGTTCATTAAGAAAGGAGTGAATAGCTCAAAATCTGCTTAAAGTGACAAGAGGTGACATCTCCACCCTATTTATTCTTTTTCCATTCACTATAATGTTTGCATAACATATAATAATATAAATATGTATTTTATAATTTTTATGATAAGTAGGTTATTTATGACATAAAAAATAATTTTGAAGCAATATATTTTGTTAACGAAAGAGAGAACTAACCAATTATGTGAAAAGTGACTGACCAGAAATGGCAATTTCTGCTCGATTTCTTAGTAAATTATAATGATGCATTTTATAGTTGCTATGATACTTATTCATTAGTTTTTGTGATCCGCTTGACCAATTAATATCATTCAATTAATTAAGGTTTTTAGTTGAGATAAAAGTCAGTGACACGAGCGGGATTCGAGAGGTAGAGCAGCGGCGAATCTAGCTTAAGGTCATGGGTTCGAATCTTGCTCGTGACACTGACTTTTTTATTGCAACTGAAAACCTTAATTAATTGAATGATATTTATGTTAATTTTTGTTATAAATAATTGTATAAAAATGTAGAAACAGTTTAAACGTGGTCATTGTAACATTTATGATGTAACAATTCCGCCCAATCTGTAATTTTCAATTTTTTGAAAAGATTTTAAAGTGTTTATGACATTTATGTAAATAAATTGTAGCTATACAGTTTATTATAGTTAGAAAGAAGAGAGCAATCCAAGTATGCTTAAAAAGACTGACCAGAAGTGGCGATTTTCAGCCTATTTGCTCTTTTTTCCATTATTACTGATATATTTTGTAATTACTATGATATGCTGATTGTAGCCAAATAATGGATCATAACAAAAAATTGTATGAAAACAAGGAATTCATTTAAACTTGATTTTGGTAAACATGCATGAAGTGACAGTTTCACCCCATTTGAAATTTTCAATTTTTATGTAAATATGAATTTTATTATTTTTATAATATGTAGGTTATTTATGACAAACATCATTTTGAAGCAATACAATTAATTAAGAAAAGACAGAACTTCCCAAATATGTAAAAAGTGACTGACCAGAAACAGCAATTTCTGCCCCATTTGTAATTGTAACTTATAATGATACATTTTATAGTCCCTACAATATTTATGTTAAAATAAATAATTGGTTGTAACAGTAAAATTGGATAAAACTTGGAAACAGTTTAAACATAGTTATTGTAATATCAGTGAACTGATAGTTTCATCCCATTTTATAGGAAAAAATTATAGCTATACCGTTCATTCACAAAGGAGAGGACAGTCCAAGTATGCTCAAAGTAACTGACCAAAAGTGGTGATTTTCAGCCTATTTGCTCATTCTTCCATTATTACTGATATAATTTATAATCAGTACTGTGATATTTATGTTGATTGTAGTCAAATATTGGATTGAGATAAACAATTGTATGAAAAAAAGGAAATCATTTAAACTTGATTGTGGTAAACATGCCTGAAGTGGCAGATTCACTCCATTTGAAATTTTCAATTTTTATGTAAATATGAATTTTATAATTTTTATGATATGTAGGTTATTTATGACAAAAATCATTTTGAAGCCATACAATTAATTAAGGAAAGAGAGAACTACCCAAAAATGTAAAAAGTGACTGACTGAAACAGCAATTTCTGCCCTATTTGTAATTTTAACTTATGATACATTTTATAATCACTACGATATTTATGTTATTTTTATAATAAATAATTGGTTGTAACAATAAAATTGGATAAAACTTGGAAGCAGTTTAAACATGGTCATTGTAATATCAGTGAAGTGACAGTTTCATCATTTTATGGTAAAAAATTATAGCTATACCATTCAATAAAGGAGAGGACAGTCCAAGTATGCTCAAATCAACTGACCAGAAGTGGCGATTTTCAGGCTACTTGCTCTTTTTTCCATTATTACTGATATATTTTATAATAAGTACTGTGATATTTATGTTGACTGTAGCCAAATAATGGATTGTAATAAACAATTGTATGAAAACAAGGAAATAATTTAAACTTGATTGTGGTAACCATGCCTGAAGTGACATTTTCACCCCGTTTGTAATTTTCATTTTGTATGTAAATATTTTATCATTTCTATGATTTTTATATTATGTATGGCAAAATAAAACATTTTGTAACAATGCAGTTCATTAACAAAGGAGAGACCGGTTTAAAAGTGCACAAAGTGAATGACCAGAAGTGGCGATTTCCACCTTATTTGATCTTTACCTATTGCAACTGATATTTTTCATAGTTTCTATGATATTTATGTTATTTATAGAATAAATAATTGGGTTTAGCAATAAAATTGGATGAACAATAAGAAACTGTTTAAAATTGACGATAATGTCAGAAGTTACAGTTTCAACACTCCCTAATTTTTTTTTATGTATACATTTTATAATTATTATGATTCCTGTTATTGTATATACAGTGGTAATTTATGATTTGAACAATCCGTTGACAATGAGAAGAACGGTAAAATTTTAGACATAGTTGAATAAAAGTTCAAGTAGGTTAATGGTGACATCAGGTGTTGCAATTTCCCTTATTTGTTTGATTTAAATTTTTATGATTGGTATGGCGTATTTATGTGTGTGTTAAAGCATGCAGGACGGCGCCTGGCCAGCGGTTAGCCGTTCCTTCGCAGGAGACGGCCCAGGGTTTGATTGGAAGCCAGGTGTGGCGGCGGCCACCTGCCCTCCTGGCCACCTGCCACCAGACCATCTTGCTTCTTCTGACGTCAATTTACGCCTTTTCTTCGTTTTATGCCTTTTTTCGAAATCTCCGTCTGAGAAAACGGTGTAAGATCGTGTGGAAACATAACGGGGATAAGGGATTTTCTTCTTCCCTATTGTGTGGGGGAGGAGAGATGACCCGGTTGACACAAGATCGATTGTTCCGGATGTCAGAAAAAACGTCTTAAGCATTGAACTGGGGCAAATACAAGTAAACATATAAAAAACAAAAGAAAACGCAAACGAACAATAAAAAAAACGGACTTACATAAGCAAATTTTATAAAACAAACAACTATCTCGTACAAGAACCAACAATCAAAGCACAAAAGAGCATAAACCAACAAATGGTAGAAAACTATCAAAACACTACAGAAAGACTCTAATAAACTAAAACCGAGGAAACAAAAACAGTTTTCAGTTGAAATATTTATTGTTTTTTGAAATTTTAAATGATACAATAAATAAGCTGGGTGAGTTAAGCCTTTCCTCAGCCTGATGCTAGCAGAAGAGGATTTTCTGTTATCGATCGTATCTTTCAAGGAACTAAAAGTGCCAACTTAGCCCACCATCAGCTTTGATAAGAGGTATCTAAACGGCTAAATGTTCAAACATTTATTGCTCTGCCTGCATTGATGAATGTTGTTATACTATAATAACTGGATATAATAATTCACGGTCACGATAGCTCAAGTGGAAGAGGAGCGGCGTATTGAGCCGAAGGTCGTGGGTTCGAATCCAGCTCGTGACACTGACTTTTTATCTCAACCAATACCTTACATTAAGATTAATTAATTGAAAGATGTTTTTTAGTCAGTCGGACCACGAAATCTAATGGATTTTAAAAACACTTATCACGAGTATTTTTTAATGTGTGGTGATTCCACATCCTACATGTATTTGTTAAATTTAAACAATGTTTATTCAGAAATCGTGAGATGCGGTCTGGTGTGATGTAGGTTTCAGAAAAACATTTTCTTTATCGTGCCAACGTTCGATCTTTATTG